GAAGGTCTGGCGGATCCCCCGTGCACGACAGTAGTCCCGCAGAAGGCGAGAAGAGAACTCTCCGCCTCTGTCAGAGTGCAGACGCAGAACAGGAAAGTCCGAGCCGAAGCTCTTCCTGAGCTGGAGACGAGCCTCGCGGATCCAGTCGATCAGCACCTCAGTGACCGCACCCTTGCTGCGCAAGGGGAGGACTGTGGTGTAACGCGAGTAGTCGTCAACCACCAACAGGAAGTAGCGCTCGTAACCCTGCCCACGGACGGGGGCTGGGCCCCACACATCCATGTGAAGCGTCTGCAGGGGAGCCTCTGTCGGGGGGAAGTGGGAGGAGTGAGGAGTAGCCCGGAGGCGACCCTCGACACAGGGGACACAGGAAGGTCCTGGCCCGGAGGGGAGAGGAGGGAGAGACTGGGGAAGACCAGAGACAAGGACACGGGAAGCCATGCTCCGAAGACGGGGCAAGGAGGGGTGGCCAAGACGGTGGTGCCACAGGAGAGTCTCGTGAGACAGGAGGCGACAAGAACAGGGGGCAGACTCAGGACCTGACCGGGACGCAGCAGCAAGCACCTGACCCGACGCAGCCACCTGACCAGACGCAGGGACAGGAGGAGACTCAACAGTCAGGGTGTAGAGACTCGACCCCGGCCGACGCGAGAACGTGGCCAGGTGTCGGCCTGTGCGTGCCTCCATGCAGTGGGTCACCCGCTGACTCGCAGGAGTGAACTGGTGAACCCCCACATCCTGCAGGTCCGCTCCACTCACCAAGTTTGTAGAGAACGAGGGAAGGTACAGACCCGACAGGGTGCCCGAAGGGGCAGCCGGACACGGGAGGACAGTGGAGAAGTGAGACAGGACAGGACCCCCAGAGGGGTCAGCAAGGGAGACCGCAACCGGCCGGCCGAGCGGCGTAAGGGTAGTGCGGTCTCGAAAGAAGGAGCGAGAAGCTCCGGAGTCAAGTGTGAAAGTGAGGGAGGACGAGGACGACGCAGTACCTGAGAGCGCAGTCTCACCAGTACCTGAGAGCACAGACGCACTGGCACCTAGAGCAGCAGCCTCACAAGCACCTAGCGCAGCAGTACCAATGCCCGGGTCGGGCTGGAAACAACGGTAACCCTCATTCTCCTCACTATAATCCACAACATACATAGCAGCAAGGATAGCATCAAAATCAAGATCAAAGATCGCTACACCAGCCCTGAGAAGCTCATCCCAGCGAGGGATCTCACTAGCCCCAGGGAACTGCTGACGCCAAGCGTCCGTCAGGCGGCCAAAGCAGCGCTGGGTGGCGTGGGCACCCCCACACTGCTCACCCGCGCGGTCGCCGGAACGAAGAACGTAGGTGCAGGGACCAGTACCCCCACCCCTCTGACGCCCAGCGTACCACTCACGAAGCTGCTGAGGCGGAGGGATGTCCCGCGAGCGCTGCTGCTGCTGCCGCTGCGAGCGCTGGCCACCACCACCGCCGCTACGCTGCTGGGTACCACCTCGACCAGCTCCACCTCCTCCACCACCACCGCCTCCTCCGCTGCCGCCTCCACCGCCTCCACCTCCGCCGCCTCCACCACCGCCACTGCCTCCACCACCACCGCTGGCACCACCACCACCGTCTCCGCCACTGCTGCCACCACCACCACCACCTCCACCACTAGTCCCGCCGCCACCCCCACTCCCTCCGCCGCCACCGCCGCCACCGCCACCGCCCCCTCCAGCTCCACCCGCGCCCTTGCCCCCCTTGCCCTTGCTGGAGCGACGTCTCCCACTAGGGGCAGACGCCGCGCCGATCGACTCAAGACCAAGCAGGTCGGCAGCAGCAGCAGAGGCAACAGAGGGCAGCAAGGGGGAAGGAGAGCACCCCTCAAAGATGGGGGTGCGAGGGTCACCACGAGAGGCACCTACAGCGACTATGCTCTTCTCCGCTGCGAGGACCACCTTCTCGAGGAGGTCGACGGTGAGGGTGGTGGGACAGACTGCGAGAAAGTGGTCCCTGACGACGCAAAGGGAGTCAGGGAGGCGCGCGACTACATAGTAGAGAGCGATGTACATGGGGGGGGGGTTCTTAGCGCAGAACTCAGCAGGAAGGGCGGCGCGGTAGCGAGTGTCACTAGTGCGGAGGTGCGTAATGAGGTCAGCGACAGTGGGAAAGGCAGAGAGGTCAGGAAAGAGGTAGGGAAGCATGAGACGGCTCAGTGCAGCAGTGGCAGGGGAGGAGTAGCGCGCAACTACAGCGTCGTACAAGGTCTGAGCACTCTTGTACTGACTAAAGTGCGCACGCTCAGAGGTAGGGAGGTGGCGACGCACAGCAAGACGTGCAGCAGCATCGCGGGTGGCCCACTTAGAGCGGACAGCGGGATCAGCATCAGCAGCAGGAGCAGGAGAGGCGCCAGAGGTGAGGTCAAAGAGAGAAAGGTCGTCAGCCCTGTCGCACTGTAAGAACAGCTGCAGGTCGTCTAACCAGACCTCAAAATCAATGGCGCGACCCTCAGCGTCAAAAGCTAGGACACTAGGGGTAGCCATGGCGACGACAGCGACGCAGTGCAAGCAGTATGGAAAGAGCTCGCAGTGTCAGTGGGACTGTGCTCACCAGGCAGGGCAGGTCGTGCAGCTATGCAGAAAGGCGGCTCAGCGACCGGGCGGCTCGGGTGCACAGCGGCTCGGCTCCCGGGCGGCTCGGCGGCTGGGCGGCTCGGGCGCAGGGCGGCTCGGCTCCCGGGCGGCTCGGCGGCTGGGCGGCTCGGGTGCAAGGCGGCTCAGCTCCCGGGCGGCTCGGCGGCAGGGCGGCTCGGGTCCCGGGCGGCTCGGCGTCGGGCGGCTCGGCTCCCGGGCGGTTCGGCTGCTGGGGCGGCTCGGCCGGGAGATGCAGGGGCGGGGCCGTCAGGTGCAGCGGCGGGTCGACCGGTGCAGTGGCGGGCCGGCAGGTGCAGCGGCGGGCCGGCAGGTGCAGCGGCGGGCCGGCAGGTGCAGCGGCGGGCCGGCAGGTGCAGGCGGCTGGCCGTAGGGTGCAGCGGCGGACCGTAGGGTGCCGCGGCGGGCCGGCAGGTGTAGCGGCGGGGCCGTCAGGTGAAGCGGCGGGCCGCTGGGTGCAGCGGCGGGCCGGCAGGTGCAGCGGCGGGCCGGCAGGAGCAGCGGTGGGCCGGCAGGAGCAGCGGCGGGGCCGTCAGGTGAGGCGGCGGGCCGGCAGGAGCAGCGGCGGGCCGACAGGAGCAGCGGCGGGGCCGTCAGAGGCGGCGGGCCGTAGGGTGCAGCGGCGGGCCGTAGGGTGCAGCGGCGGGGCCGTCAGAGGCGGCGGCGGGGCCGCGACAGTAGAGGCGGGGCCGCGTCAGGGGAGGCGGCGGGGCCGCGTCAGGGGAGGCGGCGGGGCCGCGTCAGGGGAGGCGGCGGGGCCGCGTCAGGGGAGGCGGCGGGGCCGCGTCAGGGGAGGCGGCGGGGCCGCGTCAAGCAGGGGGCGGGGCCGCGATCAGGAGAGGTGGCGGGGCCGCGTCTGAGGGACAGCGGGGCCGCGAGGGAAAAGGCGACCCGAGGGGTCGCTAAAAAAAAAAGGGCGCGCCTCGGGGCGCGCTTCGGTGGGCCCTAAAAAAACGGTCCTAAGGCAGGACCCGCTCTATACCATGTGAAGCAAGGAAAACAGGAATGAAATGACTAAGTCAGAGTTGGGTACAAATACAACACTAGAAAGCAGTACCCCATATGTGCTACCCCACTATAGCCTACAAACATGCATCAGTTATAATAATCCGACAGTGGTGGCAGTGTGGTGAGGGTGGGAGTGTAGGTTGAGGAGGAGGGCAGCATGAAGGAGGGCATAGCCCCAGAGGGAAGGAGGGGTGGAGGCATGAGCAAGGAGACAACGGGAGATTTTGGTGATTTCGCGGATGCGGCTCTCTGCGACGCCATTCTGCTGCGGGGAGTGGGGAAGGGTGTGAGTCTGTTGAATGCCATAGGTGGCGCAGTAGTTAGAGAGAGTGTGATTGAGGAATTCGCCCCCACCGTCAGAGTGGAGGCGGCCAATGGGACGTTTGAAGTGGGTGCGGCATTGTTCAGCCCAGTTGATGATCACAGTTGGTGCCTGGTCCTTGGTGTGGAGGAGGAAAATGGAGGAGTAGCGGCTGTGATCGTCAACGAGGACCAGCATGTAGCGATGGCCCTGGCGTGAGCGGGTGGGAGAAGGGCCCCATAGGTCCATGTGGACGAGGTCAAGTGGGGCAGGAGCGAAGGAGGGATGGCTGTGATGAGGGGATTGCTTGAGTTTGCCGTGGATGCATGAGGGGCATGGGGGAGCGGAGGAGGAAGGAAGGGGAGGGAGGGTGGGGGGGAGGCTGTGGAGGAGGCGGGAATTGATGGCAGTGCGAAGGGCTGTAAAGTTGGGATGGCCGAGGCGGTGATGTAAGAGCACAGCAGGATGAGAGAGATGATCCGAGGAGGAGGGGGCTGGGGGGGACGGGACGGAGGAGAGGGGCGGAGGTGGGGGAGTGGTAGATACTGGGGGAGGAAAGAGGGGAGGGTGAGTGGAGGTGCCGGCACGGGTGGTGACATGGCAGAAGGAGGGACGAGGAATGCGAAGTGTGTAGAGACGAGTGCGAGGGCAGAGGGGAATGCGCTGGAGGAAGCGACCAGAGGCAGTATGGTAGAGGTCACAGTAGGTTGCGTAACCAGGATAGACAGCGGTGATACCTGCGTGTTGGAGCTCACGGTGGGAGATAAGGTTGTTGCGGAGGGTGGGAATGTGAAGACCAGTGACTTTACCAGAGGGGAAAACGGTGCATGGTAGAGTGGAAAGGTGAGTGCAGGGGATGGAAAAGCTGGCGTCAGCACCGTGTACCTGAGTGGGAATAGGTAGTGGGGTGAGGGTGCCGGTATCTTTGAGTGCGGTTTCAGTGGCCCTACTATCAAGGACGAAGTCCAGGGTGGGGTGAGTGTGGGACATGGAGTACTGGAAAGTAGTCTCATTAATGGAAGACGGGTACATGGAAGGAAGAGACAGAGTGATAGCAATGTTACCAAGGAAGCTATTGTGCGTGAGAGGAGTGGCCACACCTGGGGGGGGAGGGGGAGGGGCGCCCCAGAGGGGAGCGGGGGAGGTCTGAGCGGCAATGGCAGCCGTTCCAAAGTTCATCTGCTGCTGCTGCCAGGGCGCGGCTCCAGGTCCCCATTGCGGCCCAGGTCCCCACGGCCGCTGCTGCTGCTGCTGTGGGAGCTGCGGCTGCTGCTGGTGCTGCAGGAACTGCTGCTGCTGCTGCTGCTGCTGCTGCTGCTGCTGCTGTAGGAGATGCTGCTGCTGGAGATTGAGGTATTGTTGGGGAGGCGCAAGTAGGCGGAGGTGCGAGGGTAGGTAGGCAGGGCTGGTCTGGATGTCAGTGAGGGAGGGGCGTGGGCTGAGGGTACCCCAACGAGGAGGGGTGCCGACGTTGCCTCTCTCAAACCAGGCATCATCAAGGGCTTTGAAGCAGGTAGTAGGGGGGTGAGTCGTTTGGCCACAAGGCGTGCCAGCACGGGGACCATGGCGACGAACGTAGGTGCAAGGTGGGAGAGTGCCCGGCCGATTTCCCCGTCCCCCAGAGGAGCCGCCAGGAGAGGTGGTACTGTTCTCATCGCCTCCACGTCCTGCACTGCTGCCCTCACCACGTCCGCCACCACCCTTGCCCCCGCCGCCCCCTTTGCCGTTGCCCTTGCCCTGCTTGCGCGGCTGCGTGGCGTTGAGGGAGGAGGGGGAGGGTTGAGGGGTGGTGAGATTGACGACTGGGGTGCGAAGTTTGACTTCTGTGTCGATGATCCACTGTTCGACGGAGCCGAGGTCGGCCATGGGGTTGGCCTCAGTGAATGCGTGGAGGCGGGATTCATAATCCGGAGTGAGATTGAAGAGGAGGCGGTGAATCTGTAGAGGTTCGGAGAGGCCGGCCTGTCGGGCTTCAAGGCGGTCAGCTACTTCGCGCATTCGTCCCACATAGTCAACAGCACCATCACAAGTAGCGAGCGTGATGGAGAAGTATTCCTGAAAGAGAATACCGACGGAGCCGATATCACGACGTTCGAACATGGCGTGTAGTTCCGTCCAGATCACAGAGGCGCGGAGTTCCCTGGCTTGGAAGCGGCGCATGAGGGTGTCGGGGAGGGCGCCGAGGAGGACGGTGCAGGCGCGGTTGTCAGCAGCGGACCAGGCAATGAGTTTGGGGGTATAGGTTGCCATGTCAGCGTTATACTGAGTGACGACCGCAAGATGAGCATCTCGCCCTACGACGGCTTGTGCGTAGGCCTCGGCTGCGGCGTCGTAGTCCGCCTTGCGAATGAGGTACTCACGACGTTGGTGGAGAAAGGTTTCATCGGCGGCAGCTTGGAGTTCGGGGGTGGAGGCGATGTGGAGTTGAGGTTCAGGAGGAGGATTGCCAGGAGGAGGGGGGAGGAGGGGAGGGTCACCGGGATGATCGGGCGCAGTGGGGGGGAGAGCCTGAGGGCGGCGGAGGAGGACATCAAGGACGCAGTAGGGAGGGACCCAAGCATCTTTGAGAACTCGACGGATACTCCCCACGAAAGAGTGCCAGTTAATAGCGGATTTGTCGGCAGCAAGTTGAAGCTTGTCGACGGAGGAGGTGTCAATGGGAGGAGGAAAGGGGGTGGGGGGAGGTGACGGGGTAGCCATGGGTGACGACCGCGGGTGGACCCGCAGCGGTCAAGGAAAAAGGCGCGGGCGGCGGCGGCGTGGAGGCCGCGGCGGCGGAGGCGCTGGGACGCAGCGGCGCGGGGCCGCGGTGAGGGAGGGCGCGGGCAGCGGCGGCGTTGAGGCCGCGGCAGGGGAGGCGCGGGGACGTGGCGACGCGGGGCCGCGGCGAGGGAGGGCGCGGGCAGCGGCGGCGTCGAGGCCGCGGCGGCGGAGGCGCGGGGACGCGGCGACGCGGGGCCGTGGCGAGGGAGGGCGCGGGCAGCGGCGGCGTCGAGGCCGCGGCGGCGGAGGCGCGGGGACGCGGCGGCGGAGGCGCGGGGACGCGGCGACGCGGGGCCGCGGCAAGGGAGGGCGCGGGCTGCGGCGGCGTCGAGGCCGCGGCGACGGAGGCGCGGGGACGCGGCGGCGCGGGGCCGCGGCGAGGGAAGGCGCGGGCAGCGGCGGCGTCGAGGCCGCGGCAGGGGAGGCACGGGGACGCGGCGGCGCGGGGCCGCGGCGAGGGAAGGCGCGGGCAGCGGCGGCGTCGAGGCCGCGGCGACGGAGGCGCGGGGACGCGGCGGCGCGGGGCCGCGGCGAGGGAAGGCGCGGGCAGCGGCGGCGTCGAGGCCGCGGCGACGGAGGCGCTGGGACGCGGCGGCGCAGGGCCGCGGCGAGGGAAGGCGCGGGCAGCGGCGGCGTCGAGGCCGCGGCGACGGAGGCGCGGGGACGCAGCGGCGCGGGGCCGCGGCGAGGGAAGGCGCGGGCAGCGGCGGCGTCGAGGCCGCGGCGGCGGAGGCGCGGGGACGCGGCAGCGCAGGGCCGCGGCGAGGGAGGGCGCGGGCTGCGGCGGCGTCGAGGCCGCGGCGGTGGAGGCGCGGGGACGTAGTGGCGGAGGTGCCTGAGGCGCGGTGGCCTTAATGGTGCTAGGAACAGTGGCGGAAGGGCCGCGAATGTGGAGGGGAGATTGGCGGCGACTAGGTGGTCGCGGCGGCGAAAAATAATCCTGAGGGAAGGGTGGGCCCTTGGGAAGGAGTTTGGAGGAAGTTAAGAGTAGGCCTCGAAAGAGAGCTCTATACCATGTGAAAGATAAGGATTGAAGAGAATTGGATGATTCAACTATGAAAGCCTTGGGTTTACATAGTATGAAAGAGAAGAGAGGTGGGAGCCAACATTATTGGAGGCCCACCAATAAGTTGGGTTGGGAATTATTGGAGGGCCTCCAATAATGTTAACCACTCTTGAGTTGGGTCAACATTATTGAAGGGGGGACAAATAATGTTCCCAACCCAACCTTTGGGGTCCAATAATTTGGACCAAAGGTTGGGTCTCAACCCAACTTTAGGGGTAACCCTAGCTATACACCCAACCAGAGGTTGGGTGCTTATCTCTACCTGATCTAGAGAATATGAGTGCAGGTTACAAGAGAAGGATAGTTTCTAACAAGAAGGTCCGTGAGAAAGCGCCTCTCCAGCTGGAGACGAGTAGCGCGGATCCAAGGGATTAAGACCGCAGGGACATCTCCCTTGGTGCGCAAGGGGAAGACCGTGGTGTAACGCGTGTAGTCGTCCACTACCAGCAGGAAGTAGCGCTCTCCGCCCTGTCCACGTACACGTCTATGTGAAGGGTCTGCAGAGGAGCCTCCGTCGGGGGGAACTCAGAGGAGTGAGGAGTGGCACGCTGCCGCCCCTTGACACAGGGAAGGCAAGGAGGGGCAGGGGACGGTGGCAGGGGAGGCAGTGATATGGGGAGACCAGAGACAAGGAAACGAGAGTGCATGCCACGAAGGCGCTGCATCAAAGGGTGCCCAAGGCGGTGGTGCCAGAGGACCGTCCGGTGCGACAGGGTGCGATACGAGCAGGGGGCGGACAAGTGAACTGACGCAGACGCAGACGCCGCTACCTGAGGGGACTCAGTGGTCAGTGTGTACAAGTCCGACCCCGGCTGCCGAGTGAAGGTAGCCAGGTGACGACCCGTCTGGGCACACGTGCAGTGTGTCACACGCTCGTAGGCAGGGGTGAACTGGTGAACACCCGCGTCCTGGAGCGCAAAACCCGCCACCAAGTTCGTAGAGAACGAGGGGAGGTAAAGGCCCGACAGTGTGCCGGACGGGACAGCAGTACAAGGTAGGGCAGTGGTGGAGGTCGCAAGGACCGGACCCCCGGAGGGGTCAGCCAGGGAGATAGCAACCGGCCTAGGGAGCTGCTCGAGGGCATTGCGGTCGCGAAAGAAACAGCGGGAAGCACCTGAGTCCTATGTGAAGGTGTGCAGTGCCTCAGTAGACGCAGTACCTGAAGGCGCAGACTCACAAGCACCTGAAGCAGCAGACACACCTGCACCTAGAGCAGTAGCCTCACCAGGACCAGGGGCAGCAGACGCACTAGCACCTAGAGCGGCAGCCTCACCGGCACCTGGAGCAGCAGACTGGATACCGGGGTCAAGCGGCACACACAGGTGACAGGCTCCCTTGGCACTAGAAGACAATGCATACATTGCAGTGAGAATAGCATCATAGTCAAGAGCAAAGATATCTACCCTCTGCCTAAGCAGCTCCACCCAGTTGGGGAGCTCAGCGTCGTCGCCAAACTCTGTACGCCAAGCGTCGCTCTGACAGGCAAAGCAGCGGGACTCTGTGTGACCACGCGTCCAGCAAGGCTGACCAGTCCGGACACCCGTGCTAATAATGTACTGGCACCGAGCACTACTCAGCGACCCTCTACTCTGAGCGTACCACTCACGAAGGTGCTGGGACGAAAGAGTCTCGCACGGACGACGCTGCTGCTGCACAGGGCCACTACAAGAAAGTCCCGAACTACCCACTCCAGGACGACTCCCACTACTGCCACCCCGACAACCCCAACTATCGTACCACTCACAAAGCTGCTGGGGCGTGAGGGACACACGTGGACGGACCTGGAGCTGCATCTGGCCACGCCAGGAGCAGTAGTAGAAGCAGGAGCAGCAGGAGCAGCAGTAGCAATAGCAGCAGGGGCAGGGCAGTGCTCACCAGTGGTGGGAAGGGCAGGCGCACGACGGAGGCGACTGCGGGGCCGCTACAGCGGCAGGGCGGGGCTGCGACCGCGGCAGGATGCTCCGCGGCAGTTGGCGCAGGGCGGGACCGGGCCGCGACGACGGCTGGTGCAGGGCAAGGACAGGGCCACGACGGTCGCTGGTGCAGGGGCGGCTGCTCCAGGGGCCAGGGGCAGCTTCTGCAGTGGCGGCTGCTCCAGGGGCCAGGGGCGGCTGCTGCAGGGGCAGTCGTTCCAGTGGGCAGGGGCGGCTGCTGCAGGGGCGGCCGCTCCAGGGGCCAGGGGCGGCTGCTGCAGTGGCGGCTGCTCCAAGGGCCAGGGGCGGCTGCTGCAGGGGCGGCTGCTGCAGTGGCGGCTGCTCCAAGGGCCAGGGGCGGCTGCTGCAGGGGCGGCTGCTCCAGGGGCGGCTGCTCCAGAGGCCGGGCGCGGGGTAGGGCAGGGCGATGCGGCGGGCAGGGGCGTCGCCGCGGGCAGGGGCGACGCGGCGAGCAGGGCGACGCGGCGGGCAGGGGCGACGCCGCGGGCAGGGGCGACGCGGCGAGCAGGGCGACGTGGCGGGCAGGGGCGACGCCGCGTCAGCAGCTGGGCGCGACCGCGTCAGTAGCAGGGCGCGGCCGCGTCAGCAGGAGGGCGCGGCCGCGTCAGCTGCAGGGCTGGCGGGGCCGCGTCACAACAGGGCGGGGCCGCGATTGCGGCCTGACGAGGCCGCGACTGCGGCCTGACGGGGCCGCGACTGCAGCCTGACGGGGCCGCGTCTGCGGCCTGACGGGGCCGCGACTGCGACCTGACGGGGTCGCGCAGTGGCCTGACGGGCCTGCAGAGGCTGCGTGCGGGCGGCGAGGGCCTGCAGGGGCAGCGCGCGGTCGGGCAGAAGCTGCGCGCGGGCGGCGTGGTCCTGCAGGGGCAGCGCGCCGACCTGACGGGCCTGCAGGGGCGGCTCTCTGGCCTGACGGGCCTGCAGTGGTGGCTCGAGGGCCCTACTAGCTTGTAGGGGCGGCGCACTGGCCTAGGGCAGCAAGAGGCAGCGCGAGGGCTGCAGGACGGCGCGCAGGCAGAAAGTAGGGCGGGGCGCGCGAGGGCGCACTAGCAGAAAAAAAAAGGGCGCACGAGGGCGCACGAGCAGAGAAAGGCGCACGAGGGCGCACGTAAGGTAGGGCGCACGAGGGCGCTCCTAGCGGAATAGTGGGCCCGTAGTAGTAAGCGGTCCTAGGTGGCAACCTAGGCTCGTGATACCATGTTAGAATGAACAAGAGTGATTGCACTAGGAAAGAGTTGGGTACAAGTAGGAAACCCTAAACTTACTGTACCCCATAGGTACTACCCCACTACAGCCTAAACAAACTGTAGCAGATGTAACATTTGACAATAACTATAATAACATATGGGAATGCACCTAACCTAGGAAATCAAGCATATCTATGCATGATAAATAAAACCTAGGCTAGTAATAGCATAACAAAGTCCAGGCAAGCTAGCAAATGAAAAGAGTTGAACGAGAATGAATGAGTGACTAAGTGAAAGTTGGGTACAAATACAAACCCTAGAAAGCTGTACCCCATATGTGCTACCCCACTATAGCCTACAATAGCTATGTCATATATATCTGACACACCCCCATAGGCAAAATGGGGGAGAACAAGGGGTCACAAGACCAGTCAAGCAAAGCAAAGCAAGCTCAGGGTGGATCACAAAGTCACCACACAGTCCGAGCACAAGGTCAAGGCCACAAGGCCAGTTCACATGCAGGAGTGCAGATATATATATAACACTAAACAAGCAAGAGCAGGTATATATATATGCAAGAGTACAAGTAAGATCAAGAGGTGAGCAAGTGAGGTAAGGCAAGTACAAGTCCCAGCTGAGTGCAGAAGCGCTGATGATCACAAGGCGGAAGTGCCTTGGTGAAAACATCAGCAGTGTTGGCCTGAGAGGCCACGTACGCAAGTCGCAACTGACCACGCTGCTGCAGCTCACGAGCAAGAAAGTAGCGGAGAGCAATGTGCTTCGTTCTGTGCTCCAGGCGCTGCTCTCGACACAAGGCCAGCATGGCCTTGTTGTCTACGTACAGCACTGGAGGAGAACGAGGCGGCTCTCCAAGGCCAGTCAGCAGGTAGGTGAGCCAGCGAAGCTCCTGAGCAGCCATGGCCCCGGCGTAGATCTCAGCCTCACAACTGGAGCCGAGAACAGAAGACGAGCGAGTAGCCCGCCACGAAACAGAGCCGGAACCAAGACTGAAGGTGTAACCCTGCGACGACCGCTGAGTAGCCTGGTCGTCAGCCCAAGAAGCGTCCGCGTGCCCAGTGAGGACCACTGGACTCCGCCCTCCAAGCACTGTCGTCACTGACCCCTCTTTTGCTACTGTCGTCACTGACCCCTCTTTTGAGTCCACTGCTGCGTCTGCGCTTGTTGCTGAGCTCGTCGACTTTGCTGCTCGCTGTCGTCTAGACTACGCTGCCAGTCTTGTTGCTGAGTCTGCGTCTGTCTGTCCTCCGTCCGTCGGGGGTGAGTGTGCTCTTGGCACGGACGTCCTTGAGGACAGGCAGGAGGAGTTCCAGTGTCTGGCTGCTGCTTCACCTCATCTCGCGTCCGTACTACTTGCCCCTGAGGGAGACCCGGATGCACTTGACATCCCGACTCCGCGCTCTTACGCGGAGGCCGTAGAGGGTCCCTACTCCTCTCAGTGGCAGGCAGCTATGGATGCAGAGATGGCTTCTTGGAAGTCCACAGGCACCTACGTTGACGCGGTTCCCCCTCCTGGGGCGAACATCGTCAGTGGCATGTGGATCTTCAGGGTGAAGCAGTCGCCGGGCTCTCCACCAATCTTCAAGGCGCGGTACGTGGCTCGTGGCTTCAGTCAGCGGCAGGGAGTTGACTACTTTCAGACCTTCTCTCCCACCCCGAAGATGACCACTCTTCGGGTACTGCTGCACATAGCCACTCAGCGCGACTACGAGCTCCACTCTCTTGACTTCAGCACTGCTTTCTTGCAGGGTAGCCTGCACGAGGAGATCTGGCTGCGCCGTCCACCTGGCTTCACTGGGACTTTCCCTCCT